AAGGACACCTTCCACTAGACCAGGTTGCCCCAAGCCCCATCCAACCTGGCCTTGAACACTGCCAGGGATGAGGCAGCCACAGCTTCTCTGGGCAACCTGTGCCAGGGCCTCACCACTCGTAGCAGAAAAAATACCTTTCTTATGTCCAATCTAAACCTACCCCTTTCCAGTTTAAAACCATTTCACTTTGTCCTGTCACTACAGGCCTCAATAAAAAGTCCCTCTCCAGCCTTCTTGTCAGCCCCTTTAGGAACTGGAAGTATACTTTAAGGCCTCCCTGAAGCCTCTTCTCCAGGCTGAACAACCCCAGATCTCTCACCCTGTCTTCACAGAAGAAATGGGATAAATCACTGCTTATTAGTTTCTAGTATGTACGGAACATATTTTTCCCTCAAATGAATTAAAATAACACACTTCACTGCTACCTTTCATTTGCTCTCCTCATAACCCATCCTCACATGGAGCTAGACTCCATATAGTCCTGCATACATCCTAAAATATACTCTGGGTCTTGAATCACCCCTGTGAAACATTGCAGGATGTCATCTCCATGAAAGCTAGACATGAGCTGTTAAGGACATAACAGTTACAGATCAATCTATCACTAGTGGGGTGCTGATAATAACTTTTGATCAAACCCCCAGTATCCTTATTGTCACATATACATGCACACAAACGCAAGCTAGCTCAATTACCAGTGACATCATTTTGTTCAAATCATGCTTTATCACCGAATCATTACTGCAAGTGAATACAGACTACTTAAAAGAACACACATAAATTACTGTTAACTCAGAAGTCATGTTCTCCTGAACTTCTTCTTTTCCAGGTATTATGAATAAATCTGTTAAAAGTTAAGGGGCTTGACTTCACAACAACAAAGAACTAATTGATTTGAATCCACATTCTTTGAAAATTTGAGGTGCAAATAGACTTAAACTCTCAGAATTCTACCAGCAAATGAAATCAAAGCGCATTTTGTATATGCTGTGGATGAGTTTTGAAAACTGCATGTATTTTTTTAACAAGTCAGTATTCAAGCTCACAGTATTAAAGAATCCGTGTTGTGGTTAATGCACAAGGCTGGGTATCAGCTGACTTAGATTCTAGTCTGGGCTCTATCTCAGAGTTCCCCTATGAGGCACTCGCAATTGTCTTTTCAGAGGTGGTAGCTAATTTTGGATAACCCAGCTTTGCCTGCCAGGCTTTAATATCTGGAACCCAGTTTTCAGAAACTGGTTTCACTGACTTCAGCTGGTATAGAAAGAACTCCAAATCTCTGGATATCAGATTCCTAAAACTGAATTTCCATTGGTTGCCATTTATATCTCTGCAAAGTGTCCACAAAATGTTGCCAGTGATGTAAGAGGAGAATTCAGATTTATTAATACTTTGCATCCACTGCACATGCCTAAAAAACTACAGAACATTTAGGGGGATGGACAGCAGGGTCCAGTGTATCCAGAGGCTTAACATGAGTGAGGTACCCAATGTCCAACACACCTGATCTCACAATTCAATGCTTCAGCTTGGGTCATCAAAAAACACAAATTTTCAAATAAGAAGCCATAGCTGAAAAGGCAGATTTTCTTTGTCATAAAACTATTTATAGCCAATATAAATATATGATGCTACATGGAACTGAATTTGAGTTGAATTTAAAAAAAACAAAGTGACCTTTACAATGTGTTCTTATGCGTATCTGGAAATGAGTCAACAAAAATAAGTTCATAGTCTTTAACCTTGTGACACTAAAGAGGAAAACCATTTTCTCCATCTCATGAAGAAACATTACTGAAAAATCCCCAACAGTAAAGACCTGTCCACATCATATTTTAACTGGACAGCCAAATAGCTCATTCAAGAATCCTAGTGTAACCTACACTGGATCATTCCATCTGTGTGAGGATGTTTTGCAATTATGCTAGTACTTCCAGCTCAGATGACTCAGAATGGGTGGTGCTTATAGGGAGGAGATCCAGACCCTTTTGCCCTTCACAGGAGTCCAGGCCTGCTGAGCACTCTCATCTGACAGCAGAGTTGTCTTTTATTAGCAGGAAAATTACCCTGCATAGGCTACCATGATCACACTGCTCCTGGCACCTGAGTGAGGTTGCTTTTGATAACCAGGAAAATTAGATATTCAAGATCTGGTGAAGGTCAGAGTTCCTTAATGCTAATGAAGTAGCCATATAATGTTGGAGGTGTGTCTGATGAAGGCTTATCTTGTCCTTTAAACCATGATCTGTTTAGAAGAAACAGAACTTCCTGAATGTTTTTAAGTTATTGCATCCACTGTTTCATAAAATCAGCAAATGATACCCAGTATTTAGGGAATTCTAAGGGATGCTTACTGTGAGTATTTCTAATTTTCTATTTTTAGCAAAGTAATGAAAGAATCCTGAGACAAAGGTAAAATGCCTCAATAAGAAACAAAACAGATTAATGAAGAGATTAATACTAATACTTAGGTAGAATGCGTTTCCCCTGCCCTGCCAAAACAACCAGCTTCATCAACACAGGAACTTAAGTTCCCCCAGCCAGCACTGGGCTGGCATGAGCAAACCTTATATACCTGTAGGAAGCGAAAGTGAGACAAAGAAACACTGCTGTGCTGTGTGTCTGCCCCTCCTGGACCTTCCTTTGTCTGCCATACTGAGCAGAGCTGTGGGACAGCTGCCCCAATAGCTTATTTTCCCTTTCTGTTCTGAGTATTTCTGGGTTCAAACTTAAACAGGGAATGTTTAAGTTAGATATAAGGAAGAAGTTCTTTACTGTAAGGGTGGTGAGGCACTGGAATGCATTGCCCAAGGAAGTTGTGAACGCTCCATCCCTGGCAGTGTTCAAGGCCAGCTTGGATGGAGTCTTGGGTGACATGGTTTCATGCAAAGTGTGCCTGCCCATAGCAGGGGGGTTGGAACTGGATAATCTTAGGTCCTTTCCAGCCTTAAATATTCCATGGTTCTATTTCCTGCCTCTGCTCATAGGGTTTCTCTGTGCCTGCACATTAGGATAAGCACGGACTACTCAGCTGGCAAGTGCATAAAAACCTATCCAACTCAGTAGAAGACAGTTGTAGTACTTTATCTGATCAGCTTCAGCACTCTGCGCAGTCATCATATTTTTATTATCTTCTGTCACAAAGGCTTGCTCCCTTGCAAAAGTCACAGCAAGTCACCACACCTTCTACTCGGAAACTGGGGGGAGTTCCCTCCATGGCTTTATGAGCAGCAGTGAGTGAAATCTTCTGTTTACACGGTATTATGCAAAAGTTACTTTTTAACTGACTGCGGAAAATCTGAATTTTGAAGTATATATACAAAATTACTCTGAAAATAGAAAAAAAATATTTTCCTCTATTTGCTTATTTCTTCTAAACAAGTTGCACCAACTAGAATATATACAGAATGGAATATATGCAATATCTACACAAAGAAGATAAATCAAGCGTATATGGTACTCTATATTTTCGCCCATCAAGTCACTGATTTTTAAGCTTTTCCACTTCAAGATTTCTTTGCATCCTATCGCTGATGTACAAAAGAAATACCAATTCCTGTGTATTTTGGGTATAGTCAAACTAAATCTGCAGCTGTGATTTATTTATAAGTGCACTATACTATTAGCCCAGTTCAGGTTCATAATCAGTTCAGAAACACTGACACTCTGCAGGATCTCTGGTGTATTACTGATGTTCCTCAACACGACTCATGCAGAAAACTGTCTCCTTCTCCACTGACACAACAATGGATACACTAGTGTAGAGAAGGCATTCCCTGTTACCCAGTTCACAGCAAATGACACTGACAAGTACAGACCATGACAAAACTTCTCTCCATTACTTAGGAAAGTTGCTGCCATGCTCTGCAACTTTCTTCTACAGACACTGCTCTTTCCTTTTCTTTAGAACAAGCAAAAAGATCTCAGTTCAACTAAACTAGCAAAATAAGTTTAAAAATAGACTTCCATCCAAACCACAATGTATTTCCTTTCTCACATTGTACATGACCTTTGATAAAACACCAAAACCTTTTTAAGGGTATCCAACAACTGGCAGCAATAGCTGGTAGCAAGGACAATGATGGATTTACTGACTGTGCCTTGCAGTACATAAGTTCTTTCTTAAAAGGCCTCCTTCTGGCAGAGAACTTGCATCCCTTTCATATGCAATCTAATATGCTGTGCTAGAAGCAGCAAATTAACCATTTATTTTGCAGTGATTGGCAGCCCTCAGTCTCACTATGTCCTGAGTGACTTTAATTACACTGTAATTTCTGACTGCAGTTCTTAAACTAACCCTTAGTCATACAGTATTTTCTTTAATGGTCAAAATCCCTGGTAGGAAAAGGCCCACATGATAAAAACTACAGGAGATGTAGATATGTAGATGAATGTAGTAAAAAAAAAATCATAAGCATATCTAAGGATCTAGTGAATATCTAATCTTAGAATAGTTAGTGAAGGCAGTTTGCTCTTTAGATTGCTCTTTTCTTTCTTCACGTCTCCCAAATTAAAACCTAGTTTGCCTCACAGTAAATTCTGCCATCACTGTACATGAGGAGGCACAGTTGAAGCATTCAGTCTGACAAATCGAGAGATGATCTGAACCAAAAATGAACCTTTTCTCATTCAGAGATTGCAGACGCTTTATTCATGAGCATTAATATGATATGGCATGGTACCATACCCAGCTTATTGAAAGTAAGACACAAGCGGGTTAAGTGATGTGTCAGAATTGTCCAGCAGGACTAACAGCAGAACAGTAAAGAGGGTGTATTTCTCCTGTCTAAGCCCTGCAGCCTGTGTTCAATAAGCTGAGTGATTTCAGATAGATTAATTATTTCTTTTCTGGACAAAGAGCAGGCTTTCATGGCTTTTGCATCTGGCTTCAACCAACAATGTGAACCCTTTATTTGTGTGAATATCAAAATGTCATGCTCTGAAAAAAAAGGATTAAAATATGAATGATAAACACATGTGTATTAAAAAGCAATTCATACCCAGGTAAAGTTGCTACTGCTCCACAGTGATCAGGATGTCCTTCCATTATAGTGCATGGCAATGGATTAGTCCATGTTTATTTGCATAGCTTCTTCATCCTGCTAGGTACTGCCCTGTCTTCTCCTCATTCTCAGTATCTGGATGTGATTAAAGTTAAAAAAAAAAAGTGTCAAATATCATGGCCTATAGTCTGTTGTTTTTAAATTTTCTGGTTGTTCCCACAGCCTGTAAAATTCAAGGCAGAGCAAACATTACAACCATGACTGTATGCATATATACATATGTAACTCATATAATTGTACAAAACCCCTTTGCTTCTGTCGTTTCTGCTGTTCCTGGTTGTAACAGGCAATTGCTCATAGCTCATGGCACAGAAGTAAAAATGGGGGGGTTTGCTCCTGACTTCTCGAGTCTGGTGGAAGACAATGGAATTTGGGCAACACAAGCAACAAACCCCATACAGGGCTGTCAGAGATAAGCCAGGAGATGATGCTTATTCTTTAATTGGCTTCCACCAGACAAATGCAAACTGCCAAGCAGACCTGGGAAAAACCTCTTGGGGCGAGTAAACGCTCTCCTGGGATGCTGAGCTATGAAGTAACACAATAGTCTCGATAAATAGTTCTTTAACAGCTGCCTGGTTTCCCTCTGTGCAAAGAGAGCTGGCAGACAAACCCATCGGACCGCAGGCTGCTGGGGAGGGGAAGGTGTGAGAGGGGACACCTCTCACCCCGCGGGCGGGCAGGCAGCCCCCGGACCTGCGGCCTGCTGTCCTCAGGAGCTTGGGACACTGCCCCTGCCCGGCTCCCGGCCACGGCTGCCCCGGGCACCTCGTATAAGTGTTCCTACGGCGGCAGAGGAACGTCGCCCTGTCAGTCAGCACAAGCAGCCGAGGGGAGCTCGGTTACCCCCTCTCCCGCGCCGAGGCACAGTTGCGGTGGAAGGCGGAAATAGGGTATCCGGTCATTCGGATGGATCTCCGGCCCGCTGTGCTGCCGAGGGGAGCGGGGCGGCCTGTGCGGCCGGGGAAGGCAGCGGGGAGCAGGGTCCGCCGCTAGCGCCATGGCAACGGGGGAGGGCGGGGCAGGAAGAGGCGGGCGGCGGCGGCGGCGGCAGGGGTGGGGATGTCTCGGCTTTGATTGGGCGGTGTCGGGCGCTGACGGCTTCCGGTGTGCGCGCAGGCTGGGAGGGGGGGGCCGGCGGTTGTGGCGGCGGCAGCGGCCGGGTGTGAGTCGGTGTCGGTGCGGGGCGGCGGCGCGCAGGGATGGACACGCTGGGCAGGAAGGTGGTGGTGTGCGACAACGGCACCGGGGTGAGTGGCTCCGGCCCCGGGACCCGCCCTGCAGCCGTGAGGGGGGGTGACGGCGGCGGGGGAAAAGGGGAAGCGGGGCGACTCCCACCCGGCCCGGCTTCCTGCCGGCACGCCCGCGGGCCGCGCCCGGCCTTGCTGCCGCTACCGGGCCCGGCCGGCTCCCCCCGCACCACGCTGTGCCAAGGCGCTGCTCGGGGCCGGCGAGGGCCGCGCCCGCCGCTCTCCGCCAGTCCCGGCCCGGGAGGTTGGCGCGGGCCCGTGGAATGAATGGGTGGAGGGAGCTCGGCGCGGAAGAAGGGCGGCCCCGGCGGTGTGCCGGTGGTTCGATCGGTTATAAACCGGATAAGCAGAGCACACTCTCGGGGGGGGTTCGGTGCCGTGCCCGGTGCGCGGGTATCGCGCTGTGCTACCCCCGGCATTTGCTGTTTTATCGTGAACGTAGTATTTCTCTGCATGGCCTGAGCGAGTGTCTGCAGCCACGAGTGTTTAACCAAAAGTACCAATTATCTTCAAATTATGAATGAGAACATTATATATCTGGCAAACAGGGTTGTGTCCTCCTTGTGCAGGGTTGTTAGTTATAGGGAAATGCCTGGGGTAGGGTGTTTTTTTGCAGCTACTGGTCAAAATGGAGCGTCATCCTGTCGTTAACACCTTTCTGATCTGAAACATACTCAAAATGGGCATTTTTTAGTCCGGAGAAACGCAGAGGTTTTCTCCCCATCCTTTCACCTGTTCTGCCCTCACTGAGCATGCAGGCACCCAGTGGAAACTCACCCTTTTGTCAGTGATACACGGGCTTTGAGGCGCCCCACAGGAAGTGATAAAGATCCCGTTTCAAAGCAAAGCGATACAGGATGCTATAGGTGGATCTTTGCCCTTGCTGATTTTGTTTAGCAATCTAAGGCTTTCCCATGTAAAGAAATACGGAGAGTTAGCACAGCTGACAGCATGTGAACATCTCTTGAATGTTAGGGAAAAAAAAAGAAAAAAAGTGATTTTTGGTTTTTATATATAAACAGTTAGAATAAAGGTACATTTTTTTAAAGCCCAAGAGGGAATAGTTGAGACAAAGGCTGTTGCTAGAGACTCAGTATCCTGAATTAGAGGATTTTCCAATTAGCATTTGAAATGATTGGAAGGGTTCAGGACAGACATTGTATCTGACAGGTCTGGGATTTGACAGTTCTGATGTCATCTTGTTTTTCCTCCTATACCAAAAAATTGGGGTTGGGGTCTGGAGTCTGGGTACTTTTTACACTATCATTTAGAAAAAGGAAAGGAAAAAATGAGGTATTCACTGTTTTCTTCTTACAAAGGGATATGGAAGTTGTTTTGTTGGGGGGGGATTATTAGTTTTGAGGTTTTTTTTCTGGATTTGGTTTTCTTTATTTTTCTTTATTGTTTAATACTCTTATGGTCAGGCCCAGCTCTGAAAAATAATTTACAGATTCACTGGAACTTGATGATCTTAAGGTCCTTTCCAACCCTAACTATTCTATGATCCTTTAGCATGACTTTTTACACAGCAGTAAATCACGGAGTTTACATTTAGCGTGTTAGCAGTGACAGCAGTGTTGTGCTGTGGTTGGTCTTGGGAAGGTGTGAAGCATGGGGTAGGAAACTGTACCCCCATTTCCCAAGTTGGGTTTGCAGCACAGATTTTGTATGGTGTGACACATCTGTGTGCTTTGGAATCAAGAGACATATTGGAATGAAACATTTTATTTTCTCTGTGAGTTGTACTAGCAGGATATAAATAGCTGTAACAGTGGAAGCTGTCTTTGTAGTGCCATTGCAGTGCTGAGAGGAGGGGCCTGTGTTGCTTCAGCTTGTGCTGCTTTGGGTTGTGTTTGGCCTCTAAGCAGAGCAGTGCGTGTCTAGAACTACCCTGGTCTCAGGGTTCATTATGTGGGAGAGCAGAACATCAAGAAATAATTGTTAAATTGGTGAACTAAAAATATTTAGTTGAATTTGGACAGTTAAACTAGAATGGGGTAGGTAATCTGGAAGAAAACTCCATTCAGTAAATCTTGTGAGCCTCAACTGCATATTGAGACTATAATTGAGTATAATCCTATACTGCCAAAGCAATATTATAATTTTTGTTCTGTATGACAAGGAAGAGACACTTTGTCAGCGATTTCTGATACACTCTGATAAGTCATCTTTAAAACCACGATTGAAATTAAATCTCCTGCTAGGTGCCAGAAATAGTACATAAAAATGGTTGCTGTCTTTAGAAAATCACATGCAGTTTTTAACTTTAGGCTTGGCTTTGAAATTTACTGTTGTTGTTACACTGCAAGAGGACTTCTGATGTACCTGGCTGCAGCCGGGCTTTGAGGAAGAGGTGCCTAGATGGAAGTTCTTGCAACGCATGGGGTAGGAGAGAGGCAGGCAGTGGCACCTCAGAGGTCTAAAGCATTAGAGATGGATGTTGGTGGTGGTGCAGGACAAGCAGTTAGGTTACTTGTTGGCCTGTAGAATTGCTCTAATTGTATTTAGGAGTTTTTGTTTGTGTTGTATCAATGGAAAGAAACAAGCTCAGAGACCTGATAAGAATATTGGTATTCATCTTAAAACTTGTCACGTGACCTGTTTGTGAGCTTCCTCATTCTTTTAATTTGAAAGAGTAGTTACACTTACAAGTTCTTACTGTTTGATGACTCAGTAGGAAGTGAAAGAGTCAGTATAAACCACAGTGAAATGGAGAAGAAACTATATATGGTAAAACTTCTTACATACGTGGTCTTGCACACAGGCAAGCTAAGTAGCTCTTCTTAAAACATTCTGAACAGGCAGCAAATGCATGCAAAAATGCATGATGATGAACTCTTGGCTGCCCTAGATGCGTAAATTCATTGAGTGTTGGTGTTATTGGTCAAGATATGGTGTGTACTGAGTATTGTACAGAATATGATAGTTGTTGCAAGAGATGTGCACAATAAGAGATGGCATTCTCTATTTGAAACTGGAGAGTTTCAAATAGAGAATGGCAGGACCAGTATTTAATGTCTGATACTAGAAAAGAGAAGCTGATTCTATTCCAGACTGCTGTAGTTAATAACACTTAACTAAAGATTTTGGGAGATCTCCTGTAAGGAATAGGAGGGAGAAGTATCTCATATTTCTTGTACCACTTCAGAAATGTTAAACTGTCCAGGATCTATTATTATATGCATCTATGTTTCTTAGGTGCATTTACCTGTTGGTAGGTTGGCCAAGTCTGGTTCTTCAGCCATACTATCCAATGTTAGGTTACCACAAACCCACTGAACCAGCAGCTGTGTATTTGATACCATGTCAGAGAGAATACTGCAGTGGGGGTGCTCTCATCGGAGGGGAAGCTGGTGCACAATGCTGACCTGTTCCCATCTTCACCAAATTTTCATGTAGCTGGGAGGGGGAAATTTCACACCTGAAGGGGAGGAGGCAGAGTTAAAATTCTGCCCCTTCTACCGACTGCTGGGTTTACCCAAGTTTGTAAAAATGCCTTTTTTTGTTGTTTTTTAAGGCTGTCTGTTCTGGCCTGAAAGAGGTAGGAAACAGACTGAATGTCTAAACTTAATCTTGCTCATTGTAGTTCACAGAGATTAAATCTGGTTCTGATTGTGGTTTAGGCTGGTTGGAGGAATGACAATCTGTTTTTGAAATCCAGGGTTTGTTAATTGCCGACATTGTTAACTTTGCAGGAAGGTGTGTCAAGGTCTTAACACAGAAAGGGGCTGGAAGTTACTATTACAGTCCAGATAGTGAGAGGATAGAATAGTATTTTTGTAGGTCAGGATTTTCTAGGTCAGCACAGTTGTGTGTGATTTCGAGAGGTATTTTTAAGGTTGGCCAAGAGGCACTTACTGACTTTGTGCAGTAGTAGTTTGGGGCACCA